CACCTACCCTTGCATGCTGGTTAGTTCTATTTGTATTCGATTTTATCGTTTTTCTCTTTTTGAGTTTTTTAAGAGTAAGCTAATTTGATTACTTTTCTAGCGAAATGCTCGTTGGATTCCGGAATAAAGTGGCCATCATCTGTGGTATTTTTGTCACATTTGCTTTACTGCTGCTTGTAATCTACAGCAGTTTTCCTGAACTAGAAGAAGAACATCGAAAACGCTTCAAATATCCGCGGAATCTGGAAGATGCCAAGGATTTGGGTCGTGTTCTCTCACATTATAAAGAGCAACATTTACTCACAGTATTCTTCGGTGTACTTGTGGTGTACATAGCACTTCAGTCATTTGCCGTTCCTGGCTCGATCTTTCTCACAATCTTATCTGGTTACCTCTTTAACTTTCCCATTGCTTTACTTCTTGTTTGTTTTTGCTCTGCAACGGGAGCTTCGATATGCTACCTCTTATCATATATGTTTGGTCGTGATCTTGTTATGCGAAATTTTCCTGAAAAGTTGAAAAAATGGCAGGATGATATCGCTAGGCACAGGGAAAATCTTCTCAGTTACATCATATTTCTTCGTGTGACACCTTTCTTACCTAACTGGTTCATCAACATCGCTAGTCCTGTTCTTAATGTTCCCATTGTTCACTTTTATTTAGGTACATTTCTTGGCGTAGCACCTCCTAGCTTTCTGTATATCCAAGCGGGCTCAACTTTGGAGCAGATGGTACATACTAATGTAGCTTGGAATTTGAACTCTGTTTTACTTCTTACTTTTTTTGCTATTTTATCTCTTGTTCCGGTTTTCTGGCATCGTTTCAAGGCAAAGAAGGAGTAAATTGCATAGCATATACTGTGCTCGTTTTTTGCTGTTTTTAAACTATTAATATTGATTGAACAATAAAATTTCAGAATAAAACTGATGCTTAGCGCCTTTTCCTGGCGCTATGCAACTTCGAGCACTTGGTGGTACACGTGGGATAGTAACTCTTGCTAGACGTGCTGGTAATGTAAGAAGCCGCAAGGGGTTAGTTTTTTTTT